GAGTGAGAATTCAACTCAGGGACCATTATAGAAACCAAGAAAACTGAAGCAGCTGGAAACAGTTCACTGTGTTCTATAGAACACAGAATGTGGGTTATCACAGTCATCAAGATGTATCATTGCAGATGTGGGGGAGAATGCATGTCTTAACAGTATTTGTAATTCTGAGGGTGGGCTAAGATTCTATAAAAAAAAAAAAAAAAAAAAAACTCTCAACCTTAGGAGCCCATAGCCCTCATTTAGCCCCAAAAGGAAATTTACTTACTCTTTGTGTTCCAATCGAATGATGTCTCCATGTCTTACAAACTCCACTGGAAATGAAGGATCTAAGGGATCTGCCGAGAAGAAACAAGCACTGATACCTGAAGTCACTGACTCATTAGGTTCGTATTACTGTCGCCTGCTGGTAAGGGTCGCAGTACCATGTGGTATGTGCCAGAGGTACTAACAGAGCACTGTGACAGCAGACCTCTCCTGCCCCGCCTGCTGCTCCCCTCAGCAGTGTATTTCAGTGAATCCGCCTATTCTGCTCCCCACTCTGTCTCTGGTGAATCCTCTCATCCCTGCACCTCTGGTCTACACCCCAGTTCTTCTATGAATAAAAACAAAAACAGCCTGTGAGATCAAAGAGACAGGGTCCCTAACTATCTCAAGAGGGTGAAAGAAGAGTATCCCGGAGATGATGCCTGAAAGACTCTTAAAGGAGGAGGAAATTTTGTCAGATGAACGAGTAAGGGTACAGAGATAGGAAAAGAAAAAACTCATGTGATCAGTGGTGAATGTGGTAAGTGTGGGAACAGAGAGGTGAATCCAGGGGGCCAGCCTGTGTATGTCAGGCTAGGAAACGTGGCCCTTTATCTGACAAGCATTGAAGCCCCCACTGGATGATTTAAGCTGGAAAGCTAAATACCAAGATTTTCCTCTTAGCAGTACAAAATCAGTGTCCTAAAACCGAATCCATGTAAATGACCATTGCCTGCCTCTCTTTCAGATCAAATTTTAAACCCCACAAAATTTGTTAGTATTGTCTGGCAATAGAGGAGAATAAAATGGTGAAAGAGAATACTTCATCAGAAATCAAGACTGAGCAGTGTCTGGAAAGGCGCTGACAGTGGGAAAGGGTCTGGCAGCAATCACAGCCACACAGAGGATCCTTGACATTTAGTCTCCAGCGGTGACACATTAACACTCGAGGTCAGGAGAGACTAATCCGCCAGCACAAATCACTGGCTCTCACGAGAATCAGAACTCGGCTGTAGATATACCCACTCCTATTCTGCCTTTCAAGTTCTCTTAAAAAGATTAATCACCAAGATCACAAATCAAATACATCAACTGGGAAGGAAGTTTTATTTCATAGAGACTTGAGGGGAAGGATGTTTATGGCATAAGAACACAGAGACCTCAGGATGCACAGTTCCCAACCCCAAAGCGCTTGCAAGATCTCTACCGTCACGTAAATCCTGAGTTGCTTGAGTGAAATGCAACCACCCTTACACAGAAGTCACCAAAGAATAAACCTCCAGCGATGCTCAGAGCTGTGCCCTCCAGATTTCAGAAGTCAAGCTGGCCTTCCTTCACCTGCCCACACTGTGGCAGCCCACCTGCGCTTGGCCTGCTGGGCCCACAAAGCCAACACCCCAATTCCAGTACTGTAGGTGCAGAAAGATCCGTGGAGCGGTGTCATTACCCATCACCGCGTAGACTGCCAAGGCAGTGGCTATGCACGCCACACTTCTAAGCTAGTCCCCCAGCACCCAGAGGAGGTGCAGAAGGAACAAAGAAGGCAAATTTAGATAGTAGCCGCCCACTTCCCCCACAAAGGCTGTGGTGCCGCAGCCCCAAGACAGGCTGAGCCAGGTGGTACTTGCTGAGGAGTCAGAGAATAACTGTGGCGCAGACAATCAGTGAGCTCTTCTCAGCTGCAGCAGAAGGCAGAGCCAGGTCATCTGACCAATGGAAGGAAGATCCACGTAGGCCTTTGTCATCAAGCCCTGAGAGCCCGACAGGTGTGCTGCAGAGCAGCTTTGCCCAAGCCAGTCACAGGGTGTCCATCAGCACGCATGAGGAAAGTCCCAAACACCAACCAAACAAGCCCAGCACAGAACTGGTGGGTCTCAGATGCCCAGCTGACTGGCATGGCCCAGGGTTATGCAGTGGGCAGCAGCACTGGAGCAGAGCCCAGGAACTTGAGCTGCACCATATGCTGGGGTGCGTGCGCTGAATAAAATGTGATAGCAGCCACGCTGTGCCTGCAGTCGGGACTCTTCAGCAGCCCCGAGCAGCATGTCAAGAGAACCATTTCTGGATTAAGTCTGAGCCTTGGCTTGGCTCACTGGCCTCAAAATGCCAGCTCCAAGAATGAGATCTCATCTGCTTCGTTCACTGCTTATCCTTAGGCTGACAATAATGCTTGGGACATAGTAGGTGCTCAATAAGTAATTGGTGAAAGGCTAGCTGAGACCACTAGACATGTTGCTACAGAATATGCAGAGAGGTCCAGTTCAGTACTTTCTTTCAGAGGAAAGATAATCACTAAGGAGGACTCAAAGGAATAACACAAGAAGCATCAATTCCCTACATTACCTGCATTTGTGTTTTGTTTCTTGATAATCCACAGGTTGTTATCGTCCTTGTGCAAATAGGTGGTGACCTGAATAGGGTAGGGGAAGGAAAAAGGAGTGGGAGAGAGAAGACCACCACTGTCAGCAAGGCTGGCTACAGGACAATCAGCAGCAAACCAGGGTGGCTTAATATCTTTCAGAACCCCCAGCCACCAACCTGAGGGGCCATGTCACCCAATGGGGTTCAGAAATAGCATGAGTGAGCAGGATTCTGTATTTTCTCCTGCATTTAGAGTTCTTACCCATAAGTGCACTTTTGATTTGTCTGTTTGTGTCTTTCAACTTCATATTTAAAGTTCCAGCCTCCAGGAGAAGGAACCATTACAGCTTGTGTAACAAGAAACCGTTACAGCTTGTGTAACAGTCTCCAGCACACAGAGGATTTGGTGCTTTCCACAAAGTAAGACCATGACTCAAACTTCCTAAATGAAAAACTCGCATCATTATGTTTTCTAGAATGTGGCCAAATGAAACTAACAAGTTCCATAAATATCTCACCAGAGAGGCCTAAAGTTTTAACCCATTGTCATTTTGTGCACTGATTAAAAAGTAGCTTGGGCACGTATATACGTGCAGCCCCATAATGCTGCAACTAAACTAACGGCTAAAACCCAGAAACAGCATAAATGTCCAATAATGGGGGACACTTAACAGGATGGTATGGCCACAGGCCAGCATGCTCTATGACACATGTTTTCTAGGAGTTTTTGGCGGCCGAGGGCAAGGCCAGTAACAAGCTGACCCTCTGTCACCAGGCTCAGTTCTGAGCACGGGGCCACTCGCATCTCAGTTTACACCACTGTTCTGTCCTGCAGTTCTAGTCACTTGTTACTGACAAGGAGACTGAGTGATTTACACAAGGCCACACAGCTGGCGAACCGGAGACCGACTGAAACCAAGGCAGCTACTCCGGTGCTCCCAGGCTAGAGACGCCACACAACTATGCCGACATCTAACTAAGTACAGAGCCCACGTCCAGGTGTATACCACACAGTCAGAGCTGGCTCCCGAGACAAGCACCAGATCTAAAATAAACAAAGGAAACTTTCACCTCTGCAGACCTGCGTCTGCTTCCATTTCTGATCACAGAGCCACAGCAGTAGCACTGGCCCTTGGCCTCCACAGGGACGTGGGCACGGCTCCTCCCTGACACCCATCCGTTACTGAGCCTTGATGTGTGACCCATGCAGTGTTTCCTGGGACAGTCCCCACCTCCACCCCAGGGATCTGTGCTGACTCTCACCATCTCTTGTCACCATTATCGCCTCCAAGCTGGTTCCTGCCTCCAGGAGAGCTGCCCTCCTTTCAGCCCATCATACTCTTGCTAGAGGTATCTTTCAACTAACTGTCACCCCTTAACAACTTTCAATGCCACCCCAGTGTTTATGGAACAAAATCAAATTCATCCAGCTCCTCCCGCTGGGCTCTGTCCCATATGGCCGCACCAAGCCTCCTGACGCAGGCCGGGACACAGTGTAGCTCACTCTTTCAGCTACTATGCAGGGCGAACGCTCCAGTGCGCATTTAACATGTCTTACCACACACTTCTAATCATCACAGCCTAAGACGGAAAGAGGGACTATTTGTTTCTCCCAATTTAAAGATGAGGATAGTGAAGCACAGAACGGCTAAGGAATCTGTTCAAAGTCATACCCCAGCAGGACCAGGATTCAAACCCAGGTGATCCAGTCTGGTTCTCCGTACGGGTCAATAACCACTGTGCTTCCCTCATCGACTCCTTTGCCAGGCCCTGTGCTGGGCACGTGACCCTCGCAGGAGCTAGAAATCACGGGCAAAGAGGCGGGAGGAAGAAAGTGCTCCCAGCTCTGTGTGAGAGGGTTCACACAGCAGCTTGCAGAGGGTGTCAAGAAAGTCACTCCTCTGAGAGGAACTCATGCAGGCATAGGAGGCCGCAGTGGCCAAAGCAACCACACAGATAAAAGAAGATGGAGTGAGTGGGAGGAGAGCGAAGGGTGCAGGAGGGAGCACGGCACGAAAGGGGAACAGTGCAGGCGAAGGACAGGAGTCAAGGAAGAATGGCAGCGTCAGCCTGGCAAATAGGCTGGTGCTGGCGCAATTCATGTGCAATAAAAGCTCACTGACCTGCTGCTGGCGGGCACCGATGCCCTCCGGGTAGAGGTGACCGTGGGAGTGGAGATAGCCAATGGCCATCCGTAGATTCTTCACTGTGATCACAGAGCCGTAGGCCAAGTCTGGGAGAAGGAAGAGTGTGTGAGCTGCCAGAGCCACAGGACTCAGCAGCCCTAACAACCACACTGGGCCCAGGACTGCCTAAAGCAAGACACAGCTGCCCCCTCACTCCTGTGGGGGCAGCCCAAAAGGGAGTTCACTATGGGGGCTCACTTGTGCCCCATCTCCCCCTCCGCGTAACTTCAAGAAGTTGGGTACTAACAGCGTCGTTATCAAAGAACATTTTATAAGTGCCAAAGATGAGAAGCAACTTGCCCTGCTGTCAAGCGAAGAAGGAAGCGGCATTTTATGTCTTCAGTCAGAATGTTCTCTTGAATATAATAATAGACTGTGAAGATGAACTTTTCACTATAGACCCTTTCCTCCCTTTAAATCTAGTGCCGTTAAAGTAACTTGTACAATGGTGTTTTGGGGTGATGTCTTTTTTTCTTTCACTCTGAATTTAAAAGACCACAACAGAGTACAGAGCTTGCCCGAGCGCGTCCCCTCTTCTTGCGGCCTGGCTTCTGGGCGGCCCTCTGTCTTACACTGTCCCAACTGTCAGTCCCCACATTCTGACTGCCGCGCCACACCGCTCCCCACCCACTGAAGCAGGCCTCACCCCGCCAGGCTGACCAGCTCCTGTCCTCTACTGCTCATTCACTTGGTCAACAGAATCTGCGACTACCCAAGCCTGCAGGCCGAAGCGCCTAGCTCTGGAGAAGCTGACTTTATGCGGACACACTCAGGTCAGCGGCCAAGAGCTCTGACAAAGGCGGAGTGACGCGTGGAAGCCCAGTGCAGGGCAATGCGCTCGCGTCCCAGGAACGAGAAGAGGGTGCCCGAGGGAGGGGAGCCTTCTAACTGAGTGAGGCCAAGTGAGGCCTTCTAGCAATGAGTAGCGCTCTGCTCATCTCACAGCTCTACTTTTCCAAGTCCTTTCCCAGGCCAACGTATGCAGCCCCACCTGCTGCCGGCCACCGTGACTTCTTAAAATGCTTTCTGCCCCCTTCTCCCCTCTCCCCTTCCTGGGCTACCCCGCCCCCATCTTCTTCCCCAACTCCCCTTCCTCCTGCTTTCTGTAGTGGCCTGACCTCAGTCCTGTCCTCTCCTTCGTCCTACAGCTTCCTTACAGGTCACAGCCTCCGCCACAGCATCAACTGTCACCCCAAGTCTGCTGGTGCCGCGGCACGCAAGTCCCCAGGTGACTCAAAGTCAGCATCTCCAAGTGGAACCCGCCCTTCCAACCAGCTTTTCCTCCTGCGTACCTGTTTCTCACCCCTTCCCATCTGGGCAGGCCCTCTGCGTTCTAGGCACTGTGTGAGACGCCGAGAGACTAACAGACGTGCACAGCCCTTGCCTCCAGGAAAACCCTTGGGCTCAATCTGGTGACATCTTCCTTTCTCCCTGTCCATGTTCAGTCTCCTTGCTACGTGCCCCTTTGCCTTAGCCGCTGGCCACAGTCACCCTTCCCAGCTCTGCCACAGCTCCAGAGGGTACCCCCAGTTTCCACTCC